CCCAACACAGGAGATTGTATGGAACTTACTTTGACTCACACAAATCTCAGAAGATCTTGTTCAACTTACAAAACAATTTTAGTAATATCCTAAATTCAAATGATTACGGAATTACTCATATGGTCTGCATATCTGAGATCCCTGTAACCTTTAGGTGAGCTCAGCTCTCTGGAGAATCGAGCTAGGTTTACTCATTCTGTTTTCGTAGCTGGAGTCTTTTTAGCCAATATGAAGCCCTGGGAACAATGGTTATTTCTGATTCTCTATTATAGTTGCAAAGCCCATTTAAAAATACAACCCATGCTGCATGTGTATATGTGACTATTAGCTATGCAGAAAATATCCTTGGCTTAAAATGTGTCACATTGTTAGCATCTGATATTACGTATAGAAAATATAATACGTGTTTGTCAGCATGGACGAGCCCTGGCTTCCTTGTACAGAGAGGTAAAGCAGGTGCCACGCAGCCATGACATGTTGAGATACATCATATTGTGGAACTTAGAGCTGGAATTGCTGGGTGCAAATTCCAGCCCTTCCACGGACTGCTTCTGTGACGTCAACCATGTCACGTAAACCCCGCTGAGCCTGCGTTCCCTTGTTTGAAAATGGGGCTATTACCTCCTATTTCAGGGGCCGATTGTGACATTTTTTTAAATTAATTATTCACACTCTAGCTCATTCCACAAAGGGTTTGAAATGACATATATGTTTGAAGATAAAATGTGTTTTATCTTAGTGCTTTGTAGATTATACGAATGTAAACTGCGATTCTGGGAACACAAGGGTTTCTGGTGAGGTCTGTCCCTTAGAAGGAAGGGCTTTGAAACAGTTGTCCAGACTTCCTTGTAATAATTTCAAATGAAACAAGTATTTATCCATCGATATTTGTTGACATAGACTGGTCGTAGGTACCGATTTAAAATAAACCCATAAGAAGACGACCCAAGACCTTTTGATTGAAGACCACTTACAACTAATTAAAAATATCACATTCGCACATACCTGATGCCTATTATTTGAAAAGACTACGTAGGGTGACAGAAAACTTCTCGGGATTAAGTCACTCTTTTCAATACCTTTGTATTTTGTTCACCATCACACACATTCACAAATACTTGAGAAGGAGTAGACCTCATAGGTGTGAATCGTTTTGATTCTGCTTAGAGACAATGGTTTTGTTGCCCTTGGAATTAATGGCAGCCTTGAGGTCACAGAGAGGCTGTGAAATATCAGTGACCTCGCAGTCCCTTTAGTTCATTTTATTAACAGGTGCCATTGGCTTTAATCTTGGGTCTACCCCTGCATCCAACGCCTTTGGAAAGAGGCTGTGGCCTAATAGCTTTTATGGGCGAACCCAGCAGCTCTTAAGCTTTGACGTTTGAAACCCAGGAGTTAACCACAGGTGCCAAGCCCTCTGAACAGGTCCACCGCATTTCTCCTCAACAGACTGCGGCTCGTCTGGAGGCAGCCACCAGCCCCTCTCCACCGTCCCTCTGTCCGAGTGAGACAGAACCCAGGACGGAAGAGAGCGGCTGATTTGTCACAACCTCTCCAATTCCTGGGGCTTATTTTACCTAGAGAGGAATTACCCGGTGTGTTAGGAATTGCAGCAAGGTTAGACCGTCTCTCTTCTCTTAGATCGTAAGCTCCTTTGATTTTTCGGCCTCTAATACCTACCGAGTCTACTTACTGATAGTAAAATTGTTCATCTAGTTCAGTTGATCTGATAAGCATGCTTCCTTTTCCTTCTTTTCTATAAACGTTGTCTAGGGAAATTAATGAAGTTAGCCTCTGTTGTCTTGTAAATTAAAAGAAAAAGGATATCTACTTCCTAAACAGCAAGCCCATGTATTACGGTTCATGTTATGTGAAAAGCTGGAAAAATATGGAATAAGGATTTTCCCCTCCTTCCTAGTAGATGAAACTGCATTTGCAGTGATTGCACGAGAAACACAGCCTTGGTAAGCGCTCACCAATAAACATATTCCACAATTGTGATTTCTCTGGAAAGTGATCGTGTTTGAGGACCTGCTCCCAGGAGACTGAGTCCACAGCGGTATTTCCGGTGCTCTGGCTTCAAGGTAGGCGGGCTCTGAGCTGGCTCTGCCTTCCCACCCAGCAGCTGTGCATCCTGGCACAGTCATGTACATTCTCGAAGACTTCATTTCCTCATCCACAAGATGGTGATGATGATTCCAACCTACAGGGCTTTGCAAGGATAAAATGAGGCAAACATGTAAAGTGCTTAATAAAATGTTGGGCACATAGCGGACACAACATAAAGGGCAGCAGCTGCTGGTGGTGTTTTTTGTTATGGACAAGCTGAGAAAAAAAGAAAAAGGAACCTGGAAGGTTAGATTTTTTTTTTATCCTCACCCGAGGACATTTTTCCATTTTTTGTACAGATAGAGTGGGAGTGGGAAGGAGAGAGAGAAAGAGAGAGAGAGGGAAACATCGATGAGAGAGGGAAACATTGATGTGAAAGGGACACATCGAGTGGTTGCCACCCGCACGACCAACCAGGGCCGGGGACAAACTGCAACCGAGGTACGTGCCCTTAGCGGGAACCGAACCCCGGTCTCTCCAGACTGCAGGCCGACGCTCTAACCGGCCAGGGCAGATTTTTTTTTAAGGACTGTTTCTGCTAAGATTAATTTAGAAAACTTGGCTCAGAAGGACCATAATCTCCAGGTGGGAAACAGGGGGAGGGGAGGCTGGTATTCGGGGTCCCATGCTGGGAGCCCCTCCCGTGTTTGAGACTTACTTCTCTCTGGTGTTTTACAGCATCACGGGATGAGACAGGACTACCCATCCTGGGCAGGGCAGGTTACTTCACCGCACTTAACCATAAGTCACCCCACTGTCTACTACCAGAACCTGTCCGTTTCTTGATCATGTCTTCATTTCGTTTCTTCATACTGCTCTTGCAAGGAATAGAGTCTCTCTCTCTCCCTCTCCCTCTCTCTCTGTTTCTCTCCTCCGTGGGAGGAACAGGACACCCCACGAGGGGACATTATAAAGCTGGAAGGATTCCGTTTACAGGAACCCAGCGAGTAAGTGCAAAGTGCCACCAGCCTCCATGTTCTCTTCACCCCCTGCGTCTCCCTATCACCTCGCTGTCAAAGAAACAGAAGTCACCTGTAGTTTGCCTTGCGCCATTCACTCTTTCGTATTGCACAGGCCCGGTGATTTCCTTTGCTTAAATTAGCATTTATCAATCCCACCTGGCGGTGCACGCCAGGTGTTCAGAGAAAATTCCCAGGCGCCTCTCCGCCCGGGGAAGGGAATGCCTGCTCCTTTGCCGTCAGGATGCCAGGATCTAGAGGTCAAGGCGTTTCTCCATCACGGCTCCGACTTTGGGGAGCAGGGTTTAGGGGCTGCAAGCAGCATACTGACTGGCCAGGTTCGCCTGCCCCCCACCGTGCAGCTCAGCAAGGCAGCTGGGACCTAGTGAGCTGAAACCCCCTGCCCGCGAGGGAGGCAGGCTGGGCCTTCCCCTTCCTTCCTGACCCTGTGTTTTCATCTCCGAAGAAACTATGTCTATTGAGGTCTTCATTAGCGGCACCAGGAGGGCTAAGGCCCCTAGAGGGCTGATAAGCTCTATGGCTAAAGGAAACCCACCCCCAAACCATCAGTCTTTGTGCAGGAGCTGAAGTGTACGTTGCTTGAGCTGGGAAGAGCCATGTGCACCGGGTAGGTGGGACCCAGTGACGGGGCGGGTCGCTCCCCGGGTCAGTGAAGACACAGCGTGCTGTGCGCGGGGCAGTTCTCGTGGGCTGCGCGGCGTGGCGCCTCTGAGTTCGTGGGATGGTCTGCGCTGTGGCTTCGACGGGCGCTCGTGGTCTCCAGCGTCCCCGCGCCCGCGGCAGGGCAGTCACGGTGGCGAGCCCTCTGCGCTCCTTGCTCATCCACAGAGCTATCATTCCCACCTCTTGGAGAGGTGGCGATCTCCTGCTCACACTTTAGACGTATTTTGGAAGTAGTACCTGCTGGGAAGGGAAGCCACTGCCGGGGAACACCCCTGATGTGCAAGACCTTTCGGGGTACTAGTCTCAGAAAGGTGTCAAGGCAGCGAATTAGTAGGAGAAAGGCAGAGAGGGCAGCGGTTCTCCAGGTGTGCTCCCCTGCCAGCAGCATCGGCATCACCCGGGAACTTGTTAGAAATGCCCAGCCTGCCCGCCAGTGTGGCTCAGTGGACTGGGCGTCGTCTCGTGGACTGAGAGGTCCTGGTTTGATCCTGGTCAGGGCACATGCCCGGGTTGTGGGCTCGATCCCAGTGGGGGGTGTGCAGGAGGCAGCTGATCGATGTTTTTCTCATATACATGTTTCTCTCTCTCTCTTACAAAAGAAAAGAAAAGAAAGAAATGCAAAGCCTACTGAATCAGAAACTCTAAGCTGAGCTCAGCTTCTTGTTTTATTTATATATTTTTTTCTTTTCTTTTTTTATCCTCACCCGAGGACATTTTTTCTGGTTCAGATAGAGTGGGAGGGAAAGAGAGGAAGAGAGAGAGAGAGAAAAACATCGATGTGAAAGGAACACATCGAGTGGCTGCCACCCGTACGACCAACCAGGGCCGGGGACAAACTGCAACCGAGGTACATGCCCTTAGCGGGAACCGAACCCGGGTCTCTCTGGACCGCAGGCCAACGCTCTAACCGCTGAGCAAAGCCAGCCAGGGCTCAGCTTCTTGTTTTAAGAAGCCTTCCAGGGGATGCATGCCCAAGCCTGAGAAACGGCGCTGTAGCCTTCACGGAGTTCAGGGATGGGGTAGACCCGTGTGTCCCCAGGGTGAGCAGGAGACACGACAACCCAAGTATCTGCAGCATCTGCCCCATGGACTTGATTATGTTACAAAGGAACTGTTTATGCATACCCAGCAGAGACTATAATGATCATACGTAGCATCTAATTTTTGTTTGAATTTGCCTATTTTTTTTTGGTTTCAGAAAATGACTAACAAAAGATGGCTAATAAGCAATTCCGTTGTGCATTTCAGAAACATCCCCCTCGCCATAGGCATATCCATGGCCATTGTCACCATCGGCTACGTGCTAACCAACGTGGCCTACTTTACGACCATAAGTGCCGAAGAGCTTCTGCTTTCCAGCGCGGTGGCCGTGGTAAGTCCAAGCTGGGGAGACGCCAACTTGAATTTAGGTTAATGAGTTGATGCAATTTCATAGTAGTTCCTTCCAACAGAGAGGGTTTTGAAATTCAGTAATCTTTTCTTGACCTGAATGATAATGAGTTTAAAAAAAATGTAGAACACACCTTAGCATATTCTACTTAACTGATACAGCTAAAATCCTATATGATTTCTCTGTAGTGTTAATTTCATGTAAAACATTTCCTCATGTACATGCTTGAGAACACATTTCCACATATACACACTGAATAGAAGGTGTTATTCTTCCAACATGCCTTTAAGGACAGGTGTGCAGTTACTGAATTTAAAATGATGCATTTCTTTGGTATGCAAATTGCAATTTATTCTATACTCGTTCCTGTTTATAAACTTATCAAGTGCTAACTTTTCAAATATTTTTCCCAAAGCACCACTTAAGAATTTCCAAGTTGACCATGTATATTGGTTTTGTTTTGTTGTTTTTTTGGCAAAGCCTTTTGAATACTAGTCATGGGATATTATTAATTTTGGGGGATGCTGAATTCAAAGTTAAACAGATATCATTGTTATAGTGCTTCTCAGAATATTAACGATGCGAATGTGCATTTTAACTCTCTAAGAAATGGACACTCATAATTTTACACTTTCCAAAATTCATTAGACTTGAGAACTATCTTCGCTCCCAAAAGTCAGGTTATGGGACTGTTGTTCTGTGACACGTACTTTAATTTTGTATCAAAACTTAGGTAGTAAGAGAGCCTTCCTTCAAGACCTCATAACAGTGAAGGGGGGAAAATAACTTCCCATCATTAGCTGTCAGTTTCTTTAAAAATAGTCACTGTTACCTCATATCAGCAACATCCACAGGGAACAGATGATCTTATTTCATGTGAACCTATGTACGAGTTCACATAAAAAAAATAAAATAAAAAAAAAGACTTCAGCCACTGCTGTAAGTTCTAGCAGACACCCCAATGCACAGAGCTCACTGATGCTCACTGATGTTGGGTCAGCCGTCTCAACTCTCTAGACAAAGGGCAGCACTTCTTCTGTGAGCGTAATGGGTCCGTTAATAACCCAGCACCGGCTGCACCAAGGACGAGTGAAGAACCCCACATGTTTTTTTTTTTTTTTGAAAATGCCTTTATGCCATGTCATGAAAGGAAATTTCAGCAGTTTTGTTTATCTGCTCTATTTTCTGTGGCTTGACTCCTTTGGACTTGCCTCTGTAGTCCAGCCTTGCTGTAGGAAACCACAGGAGACACTGCCAGTCCGTGGAGAGGGGGGACCGATTCGAGAGCCAGAGATTCAGCCGATGTGACCATTCTGGGCAAAAGATTTTCAGAACATCTAATAGATAGGATGTTAGTGATTAAGTCATCAATTCTTTTGGCCACACTTTTATGTCACAGTGGTGGGGTCGGTATATGAAACATGTACCTGTGATACTTAGTACACGATTGTGCTTCACCATCAAAACGTGGCGTTCTAGGCCACAGAGAAGGCTCTGTGCAAAGGGATTTCCCTCTCGGAGCCAGGGAGTCTCCTGCAGGCGCTTTCTCCATTGACCAGAACGATAGATTTGGGCCATAGTTGATAAAGATTCGGTAAATGGATCATTGCCTTTTGAAAGTAGAGAACAGGTGCTCGGTTAGACCTTTGCCCATGTTTTTGCAGCAAGCGATGCCGTGGTACCTAATTTTGATTATTGTCTACAGAGTTAGTCTGACCTTAACCAGAGAGAAGGATGATAAAACATTCTCGTATCGCCAGGCTAATAGGAAGTCATAGAGCGAGTCTGGCATAAATTGTTTCATTTTATTCCACTTTCTGGCACAGCCTTGATTTGCGCTGTTCTGTCTTTCGCTAGACCTTTGCTGAGAGGCTGCTGGGAAATTTCTCATTAGCCGTTCCCATCTTTGTTGCCCTCACCTGCTTTGGCTCCATGAATGGTGGTGTATTTGCTGTCTCCAGGTGAGTGAGTTCAAGCATTTTCAGAAATGTATTTCTGTTTTTGAGATTGGATGCGATAAGGATAACTTTACAAAGAAATAGCGCCTCCAAATCTGTTGTTTTTAAAGGGACATGCAGCATCGAAGTCTTTGTCCAAGTATCACCAGCATGTCTTATTCTGCCCACTAGAGGGCACTGCTCCTCTATTCATAGCCGAGTCTGAAGCCGGGCAAGGGGCGTTTTTTTATAGTCTGTCTACAGAGGCAAACAACCGCATTTTATTTCTGGTGATAAAATCTGTTGTTTCTCTAAAGGTGACAAGAAAATAAGCAAAGTAAGAGACACCAGAAACCACCACCTCACCCTATCTGTATCCCTATTGCTTTCTTTGATGCAAAAGTCCTTTTTGTTTTCATGTGAGATTAAAACCCAATCAGATAAATATATCTGTTAGGTGTGTTGTCATCTTTAAAAACGAACTAGCCAGTTGTTTGTTAGAAAAACGAGTTTATTCAGGAGTAAGAGAGGAATTGCAATTCAGAACTTGCAAACTATGGCAACACGGAATCTGGAGGACCAAGGAGTGGGGCAGCATTTCCAGAGGAAGGGGAGGTGGCTGGGAGGGGGTGGGTGAGAGGCTGCTGGAGGGAGTTCAGGTTGCTGAGGTTCTCTCACCAGCTGGGTTATTGCTGGGCAAGGAGAAAGGTCTATTCTCCAGCTGGGGTAGTGAAGAGAGCTTCTTCCCGTTGAGCTCCCCCGTCTATTTTAAGTGAGGTTTCCTTTATCTGTGTTCAGTGTGTGTGTGTGTCGGGTTGGAGAGGATAGACTGCACCCATACAGTACTGAGAACCCAGAACTAAATTCATCATCAGCTGTTTACATGTAGGGAGAGCTATGCCGAATGAGATGTTGCTATTGTTTCTCCTCAAAGAATATACGACGTTCGCAGGTATTATAACATTCGAAGTCAGATCTTTCATGATGTTCTCTACTTTATCTGGAAAGTGAAATCTAAGTAATCACCTAAGAAATGTCAGACCGTTTGGTGACAAAGATGCAAGTTTTTCTTAGCTCTCTGGGATTTGTCCTTCTGCAGTGATCAATGGTGTAGTCAACTCCTCCCTGGTTTTCTCCCATCAGGTTATTCTACGTGGCGTCTCGAGAGGGTCACCTTCCGGAGATCCTCTCCATGATTCATGTCCGCAAGCACACTCCTCTGCCAGCTGTTGTTGTTTTGGTAATGCATATTAACAAGTAGCTAGATAGCACCTCGAGTAACAGGTTAGCAAAGAGGATTTCCCACCAGACTTCAGAGAGTGCTCTACTTTCTCATTCATTGCAAAATTGGTTCTGGGAATATCTTGGCGGAGTTTGGGTGGCAGGATGTTTCCCAGGGCTTCCCCTGCCTCAGGATTTCTGACGCCTGTTTGATGCTATGGGGCCATAACCACATCGCTTTTTTATTTTACCTTTGTGGAACTTTGTGAGTTCTAAGGGAAATGATTCCCTGGCTCCTGTCATTGACAGAACCTCGCAGAAAAGGATGCAAAGTACGTTCCAACTCTAATTACAGAGACAGAAGCAAAAAACTGTAGTCCACCAGATGTCTCATCATAGGCCCCTTATTATGAAATGCACACAAAATTATAAAAAAAAAAAAAGAAGACATTTGAGCCCTGACCAGTGTGGTTCATAGGTTTGATTCCAAGTCAAGGGCAAGTACCTGGGTTGCAGGTTCAATTCCCAGCCCTGGTCAGGCAGGTGCAGGAAGCAACCAATCAATGTATCTCTCACACTGATATTTCTTTCTCTGTCCCTCTCTCTCCCTTCCACTCTCTCTACAAATCAATGGAAACAATATCCTTGGGTGCGGGTTAAAAATAAAGTGAGACATTGGAGCAAGCACCAGGACTTCGGTTTGAGTCGTAGAGTTCCTTGGGCAGAGAAGGCGTCTGTAAGGCGTGGGCACAGAAGACCGCACGGTGTGACAGTCCTCCGGTACCCACTGGCGGTGTGACAGTCACTTTCACCTACCATTTCGTAACATATTTCTCCAACGGCCTCTGTTGCAGGAGCACTGTAGAATTCACGGAACATTTCTTTTTCATGCATCTAATTTGTTTCAGAATGTTTCCCTGAAATTTCTTTATAAAGTACACAGTGTTCTTTGTGGGGAATCTGGAAGGTGGCGGTCACGTGTGGGCACAGCCTGCATTCCGTGGGGAGGGCTGGGTTCCCCCTCTGCTGGCGGCCCTGCTGTCCTTGGCAGGCTGAGCCGCGTGCGCTGACCCCGTGTGCGGTCCGGAGGGTCACCGTGGCCTGCGCCCAGCGAGGGTGGGGCAGGAGAGGTCAGCATCGTCATTCGGGGGACCACAGAGGCACCGGGAAGTGGCTGCTTCACGTGTACATCACCAAGACTCCTCAGGCCCCGCTGGCAGAGGTTTCTGCAAACTTTTCAATAGGATACACTTAAAAAAGTTTTTTTTTGGTTAATCTTCACCTGAGGGTATTTTTTCCATTGATTTTTAGAGATAGTGGAAGGGAGGGTCGGGGAGAGAGAGGGAGAGAGAAAGAGGGAGACGGACAGAAACATCAATGTGAGAGAGACACATCGACTCCCGCACTTGCCCCGACTGGGGCTGGGGATTGAGCCTGCAACCCAGGTACGTGCCCTTGACTGGGAATCAAACCCGCAACCCTGCGGTGCGCAGGCCAATGCTCTAACCACTGAGCACACCAACCAGGACTAGGGTACACTTGATTTTTATTACTAGTTCTTTATCATCTCAGTCTTTGGGTGTGTACATTTGGAGTCACTGTGTGTGCCTTTGAAAACACAATCTCTTCTGTCCAATGTTAAAGCAACTAAAAATCAAACATCCATGGAAACATCCTTCTGAGTGACTGGTAGTGACGATGGCCCTCTCATTCTGTTGCTGGTGGGTAAAGGCATTTTAAGAGCAGAATATAGAAAGGAGGTTAGGTTTTCATCATAATGGTAGTTGATCAGTATAAATAATCATTTGGAAAAGATAGTAATGATGTCTGGTGATGCTGTTGTTGGTTGTCACCTGTGTTCCCTTTAACTCACCCAGCATGGTTTTTGTCCCCTCCCCCAGTACCCTCTGACCGTGGTGATGCTGTTCTCCGGGGACCTCTACAGTCTCCTGAATTTCCTCAGTTTTGCAAGGTGGCTTTTCATTGGGCTAGCGGTTGCTGGGCTGATTTATCTTCGATACAAACGCCCAGATATGCATCGTCCTTTCAAGGTAACCTCAGCAGTCTTGATGGGTTTACATAAATCTTTCTCCTAATCCCTGGTCCTCCCGTGGTCATAGTTAGATGGTGGGGAGCTTCGGCAGGGGCACCATCCTCTGCCATAAGGTGTTTAACTCTTGCAGGTAGTTCCTTCGGATTGGATTGATTTCAGTTTGGAAAACAGTTCACCACATTTTTTTATGTGATGTACTGAACTCTCTATGTCATACTTTTGAAAAAAGGGGATATTAATAGAGGATGTTTGTTATGCTGACTTTTCATGATATGTCCAACAAGCTGATAAATTCAAAGTATGGGATACTTTGATCTATCTTTTTATTTTATTTTATTTTATTTTTTTATCCTCACCCGAGGACATTTTTCCATTTTTGTTCAGATAGAGTGGGAGGGGGAGAGAGAGAGAAACATTGATGTGAAAGGGACACATCGAGTGGCCACTTCCTGCACAACCCCAACTGGGGCCAGGGACAAACTGCAGCCGAGGCACATGCCCTTAGTGGGAACCGAATCCCGGTCTCTCTGGACCGCTGAGCCAAACTGGCCAGGGCTGATCTATCTTTCTTAAAAAATATGTTTTTATTGATTTTTTAGAGAAAGAGGAAGGGAGAGAGAGAAACATCGGCTGCCTCCTGCACACCCTCTACTGGGGATTTGGCCCACGACCTGGGCATGTGCCCTGACTGGGAATCGAACCAGGAACTCTCAGTCCATGGGACGATGCTCAATCCACTATGCTACAGCGGCCAGGCACTTGGATCTGTCTGTATGCTGAACATTGTGGACAGCCAGCCTGAGAAAGCAGATCCGTATGGAATTGTGTCACTCGTTAAAACTCTAGAAAGGACACTGTTTTATAAAACAGGCATTTTCAGTATTTTTAAAGGTTATAACTTATTACATTGCTCCTTTTCTACATGATACACTCTAGAAGGAATAAAATGTAAAAGATAAAGGGAGAGCAAAGATGTATGAACTTATCATTTAATAGAAAGCACAATCACCATAACTAAGCATCACCTTTTGGGAGGGTTGAAGAAGATGCTTCTCGTCTCCTCCAGTCTTGAACATTCATAGATTGATTAGACCTCACTATTCATTTTCTTTGAAGAAATAACAGATCGGGGTGTCAGTGCGGTTGACAGAATTTGTTTCTAATTATATTCTTGGCCTAATCTGGGCAACGTCTTCATTAGCGAGTGAGTAGGCGTTGGCCTGTTTTGTTCCTGTCCTTTCCGATTGCGAATCCTCAACAGAAAATCCATGCGCCTCGAAAGGATGTCACATGTACCCAGCGGCCAGAGTCTTGGCTCCACAATGACAGTGCATTCTAAGCACAATTATCCAAGAGCCTGTCTTTTATTATCAAAACCAGAAATTATAGTGGTGCTCAACCGTTAAAATAGTTCAAACAACTTCTCTAATGAAACACACTTATTTATCCTGAGCTTTCATTCTATCTAAATATATATATTTAAAATTAAGGGATTATGTTTAATATAGTCTCTGGGCCCCTTGAGAGAGATTTTGCTGCGCAGGTGAGGTAGGATGGTGCCTGTCCCCGGCCATGTGACCACAGTATCACCGATGTCACGACTGGCCTCATCGGGAACCACCGCCGCTCGCGCTGTGTCGAGTGATGTCTGCTCTGTGTTCCAGGTGCCGCTGTTCATCCCAGCTTTGTTTTCCTTCACGTGCTTCTTCATGGTTGCTCTCTCCCTTTACTCCGACCCGTTTAGCTCGGGCATTGGCTTCGGCATCACGCTCACCGGGGTCCCAGCGTACTATCTCTTCATTATATGGGACAAGAAGCCCAAGTGGTTTAGAAGACTGTCAGGTAAGCCACTGAAGTCGTTTCAGAACCTTTTTAGGGACCATGTTGTAGAAAACTCAGCTAAGTATCTACGCATAGGGTGCACAGCTTCAAGTTCAAAACTACAAGTGGGACAACGGTGATTCAAATAGACCCGGAGAAGGACACGTGGGTGGCGTCCAGGGCGCAGCTGCTGCCTCCTGGGTTGGGGGGCTTCCTCCCTTCTCAGGGGCGCAGCTTTCTCAGGGAGGCTTTTATCGCGGTTCTGAAGGTGGCCTTGTTGCTCTTCTGAGGCCTTTACTAACCTAATTCTTTTATTCAACGGGGTTGAATGCCGTTTGGGGATTCTGTATCATAACAGGCTCCTTGATGGGTGATACGAGACCTGGTGGGGAGTGAGACACCTGCAAGGTCTTAAATATCACGACCAGGCACCACCCTGTTTCATAGGCAGGGTAAGTCCCCCAGGGTCGTCAGACAGACGAGCAAGAACAAGGAAGAGCAGGATAACAGCTCTCGTGTGCTGTGTGATCTGTGGATCAGTACACATGTGACTTTATTTAATCTTTAGGAACCTCCTATATTTTCCTCTTATATAGACGTTGAGTGATAACATGGGAGAATTTACACCACTCACTCCAAGCCACGTAGATATGAGGGTGAAGAGCTAGACTCCAAACTCAGGCCGTGTCGTATCTTAGAAAAACCACCCTGGAGACAGGCTAGATCAGAGGGAGAGGAGGCTGAAGACAGAGAGGGGAGGAGGCTGGTTACCGCAGTAATCCTGGCGAGGACCAGGGAGGGTCCGAGCACAGGCAGTCAGCGGGTCCAAGGGAAGGGGAAGATGTTGGGGAGGAAGCACCCACAGAGCGTGGTGGCAGGTGAGCTGGGGGAGGAGAGGAGAGGAGATCAGTAGGAGGAGGGTGCGTAGGAGGAGCCTCTGTTGAAAGCCCAGCCCTCTGTCCGGGCTCTGCTGCATGAGCCCTTTGCCTCAGGTCACCCCCTCCTTCCATCCCGCACCAGGTCCCGTGGGAGGTGGGATTCCTCAACCATCAGCCAGGACTGGAATCCCCAGCTGCCGGCCTTCAAAGTCCCTGGTTTTTCTAGATTGGGGACCTGGGGACAAGGGGGTGGGGTCAGAAGCATGGCCAGACAAGCAGATAGGTTCTTGCCCGGCGAGTTTAGAAAACAACTTTTGTTGTCCTTCGTTTCAACGTACTTACTTTACCATAATTATTTTGTAAAAGTTCAGCAAACAGTACAGCGAGAGTTCAGGTCCAACTGTTGGTAAATAAAGCCACTGCTACTAAAAATAAAAGGAAACGATTTAGTGTACCTGTTGACTCTAGTGTGCTACACGAGCTCATTGAGAAGCCAGTCCTCTGAAGTCTGTTGCTACTGTTGCTCTATATTAGTTTTAATTGGTATTTGGTATCCTTAGACCTTATCTATGCTACTTTTACTGAAATCTGTTTTCTCGCTGGCGATGCTGTTCCCCGAAGTGTTACTATGTGAGCTGGGTTCTCGAAGGCTGGCACTTAGCACACTGCCCAGCAGGTCTTTCAGCTCCATTTCTAGTTTCCCACAGAATATTTTCAGTTCTGTTTTCTCAGATGTAGGCAATACGATCCCGAGCAAAAGGAAGAAGTCTTGTTAAACAGTACTTACCATTAGGGTTGCTCTCCCCGTTCCAGTTGCTCAGGACAGACGGACGCTGACCCTGCGAGCTGTGTCTCGGGGCCCGGCCAGAGCCGGTTCCCACCCGTGAGCACCGTGGAAACCACGCGAAGGCAGGACGGGAGCGCGGCCCGGAGTGGGACGCCCCGCGGGGAAGAGGGACGGGGGAGCAGGTGCCTGGTTTGCTCCCACTCAGGAGCCTTTGCCCTTCGTGTCCGCGGCCCGCCGAGGGCGGCTCCCTTCCCTTTGCTGACGCAGCCGGGCTGCAGCGCTTCTGGGTCCGTGGTGCCTGACCCGTGTCCCTGCTGCTGCTTCCTCTGAGGGTTCCCTGCTCCTGCAATTTACGGTTCGGGGTTATTTTCCGTCTCTAACGGTGTTTTGATCACTTCCACGGACTCCAGGTTTAGTGTCAGCCGTTCGTGGAAGCAGCACGATGTCGTGGCCCCGCGATGGTTGTTGGGGTCTCAGAAATGCCGCCGAGCCTCACGCGGGGTCTGTCCTGCCTTCCCCGCCCCGTCCCCCGCCCCCCCCCCCGGCCCCGCCCGCACCTGCACCTTTGCAGCCGCCTCGGAACGGAAAGCCACAAGCTTCCCTCGGTTCTGTTTGATTTTCCTCTTAGGCAGCATTCTGGTGATAAAATAAAATAAAAATTCATAGTATTTCTTGCTGCAGTAGCAAGTATTTTCCTAGCCTTTGGCCAAAACCAAACACTCAGACAGGAAACAGAGGGCAGGGACCAGGAGTCGCCCCTCCCCCGCCGCCCCCTTGTCTTTGGAGACAAACTCTGGGTGAACTGAGGCCGGAGAGCCCAGGCCGGGGCGGTTTGTTCAGTGATTTCACATCCAGCTGTGCGGCTGGGGAACATCCTTTAGCCTCTGCACTGTCACGTATTTTTACCCTGAGACCCAGGAGCCTGTGGAATGATGGCTGATCACACACATCTCACTTAGGGGCGCCCCTACTGCACACGTGGGCCACCGACCGCTCAGAGACGCGCGGCGCTCCGTGCAGGCAGCCGGGGTGTCCGGAGGATGGGAAAGTGCCCGAGGACTGACGGATGTCTGTGGCCACAGGATGCCAGTGTTGAACCACGTTGTCTGGAGCAGCCTAGGGCGAAGGCCAACGGCCTCTGGAGGGACCAGTGAGAGACACAGAGGGCTTTGTCCTGCGTCTGTGCCAGCAGGCTCCATTCTCCTGGCTGTGCAGTACTCATTTATTTATAGAAACACGACCTTCTCACGAGGAAAACAGGGCAGACACCCACTGACACGCTGGGACGCCTGGTGACACCCAGACCTGCAAACCCCGGCGGGCTCCCAGCAGCCCTTTACTTGACCGCCTGGGTTTCTGAGCCGGACCCGCATGGCAGACAGTAGTGGGGTCACTGGCAGCTGGTCCCTCTTGCTCAGGGCGAGACATGGAGGACAGCTGTGTGTAAACAAAGTCTTTGGTTATAAAGACTCATACTGGGCAGCCCGGCAGAATGGCTGTATCCATTGTGATGGTGACGAGGCCGTTCCGAGTCCTAAAAGCATCCACACTTATAGCGTGTCGCAGGGACTTCCTTTCTGCTACTCACCGCTGACCGCAGTGGACAGCCCCTCGCGAAGACTCCAGGGCCGCGCGTGACATTAGTGCTACATTTCTTAGAGTCCCCACCGTCCAGACTGTAAGGATAAGAGGAGACCATCCACATGAAAAGGTTTTGAGGTCTTTTTTAACGTACTTTTTTTCTTTATTGATTTTAGAGAGAGGAAAGGGAGGGAGAAAGATGGAAACATTGATGAGAGAGAAACATCGATTGGCCGCCTCCTGCATGCCCCCCACTGGGGATCGGGCCCACAACCTGGGCGTGTGCTCTGACTGGGAATCAACCGCAACCTCTTGGTGCATGGGTCGACGCTCAACCACTGAGCCACACTGGCTGGATGAGGCTTTTTTTTTTTTTTTAAGTACATACTATTATTCTCACTCTGACTTCTGGGGAAGATGGTTCTCATGCTAGTATCTGATGACTTCTGGCTGTAGTTCCTCTGCTTGTACCAGGTGTGGTTGGTCAGTCAGATTCTGCAAGGTCAGTCGTGGTAACTGGTTTCAGGAACATCTACTGCAGATGAAAGGTAAAACTGAAACTACGACAATTGCTCTTTGGTCTTGTAGCTTGTGCTTACTGAAAACACAAAATGCACCACACTCACTGGCTCAACTTTGTCTGTCTGTCTGTCTATCTATCTATCATCTATCTATCTATATATCTATCATCTATTTATGTTTTATTATTGTTAATCCTCTCCTGGGGATATTTTTACCATTTATCTTCAGACAGAGTAAGAGGGGGAGGGGTGGGGAGAGAGAGAGAGAGAGAGAGAGAGAGAGAGGCATTGATGTGAGAGAGACACTTTGATTGGTTGCCACCCGCATGACCCCAACGGGGACCGAACTGCAACCAAGGTATGTGTCCCGGGACGCTTTGGTCCATAGGCGGACGCTCCAGCCACTGAGCAAAACTGGCCAGGACTGGTTCAACTTTATTTAAAGGAATAGTAGCATGGGGTCGATTATCTGCAAAGCCAAAGGACTTACATGAGCATGGATATAGTTGAATTTCACATGCCTGTGCTTTGCTGGGACAACAGGAAGCTTCCCAGAGGCTTACTTGGGTCTGTCGAGCACCCATCTGACCCCGTGGCTATAGAAAACCTAGAATAAAAGCTGGTGTAACTCCAACAGCTACTCAGAGCCAAAACCAGCCACTCCCCCCAAACCTCCATCATGATGAAGATCATCTGAATCTTGAGATTCCAAGAGAGAGCCTAAGAGAGCCCCAGGAGACGGGACTGGTTGAACGTGGACAAAGAGAAAGAGCTGGGTGTGCGGAACCAGAACAGAGAGGCTTTGGCCTCAGCTGTGCTGTTGGATGGAGGCTCCAGACTGAACACTCAGGGAGGAGAACGTCCCACTAGGAGAGCAGCAGGGTCTCCACGCGGCTCTCCCTTCGCAGTGTTGTGACCTGGGTAAGCAAGTTGTCTAAGAAAACAAAGGACTCATGGTCCCAGAATAGAGAAAGACACTTTGGAAGAGGCTTCTGTTTTAGACATGGAGGAGCAAATGCTGAATAAGAGAGGCACGTATTAAGAAAAAGATAGAACAAAGGAAAATTTCAGTAGATAAATGCATGCACACACATACACATGCACACATATACACTCGCACACACATGTGCACACATATACATGTGTGCACACACATACACACGTGCGCACACACATACACATGCGCACACATGCACACACACATGGCAGTTGGGGAGATAGTTCAGGGAGCTACAGCAGACTTCTCTGAGGAGGAAGGAAGGATTGGGGAGGATGTGGGTTCAGCCTCACTGGTCTCATTTGACCCCAGCAGATGCTACGGCCACTTGGTTCACCTTCTCAGATGCCTCTCGCTCCTTCTGTGCCTACAAATCCACTTCTTTCCACTACTGATTGACACTTTTCTAGTTTGTTTTCTAGGATAATTTTACCATTTCCCTTTGCTGTAAGCATCAATGTTTATTGCTCCAGGCTGTTCCCTTGTGCCTCATGTACATCTCAATGTAGAATGAGCTGCGACAAAATAGAATTTATTTAGGAAACGTTTACCTGGAGTTTGCCATTTGCCAGAACTGCGCTGGGCCCCGTATAATTGATGGATAGTGTAAAACTTTGTGTGCTGAGGAGAACAGCATTGGGGAAAACAACTGTTATAAAGCACAGGACGAAAAATGTAACCTTTTAGTGGTATTAACTATTGCTCGGAAGGAAGTATTACAGGTGACAAGTCATAAAAGAGGAAAAAGGCTGTATGTCTGGACGAGAGGTGATCTGGGTCTGGAACCATCACGAAGCTGGAGGCTCCAGGGCCAGAAAAGTTGGAAGAGGGTCTGTAGGGATTGATGACAAAGATGAGAGGTGAATAAGAACTGATGTCCCAGGAAACCAGAGTCACAGAGGTCTAGGACTGCCGAGATAAATGACCTTAGAAATGATCTAGCCCAGTGGTTCTTACATTTTAGTCTCTATCAGAATCACAGATTTCTGGGCCTTCAGCGCCTGATTCAGTAGGTCTATGGTAGGGTGTGGAAAGATGCCTTTCTAGTGTCTCAGCTGGTCTGCAGAATAGCCTTTGAGAACCACTGACCTAGTCCAAGTCCCTCATTTTTCTTTTTTAATGAATTTATTTTTATTGAGATGCAATTGACATATAACATTGTATAAGTTTAAAGTGTACAATACTTTGGTTTGATACATTTATATATTGCAATATGATTACTACAATAGCGTTAGCTAACACCTTTATTATTTCACATATTTATCATTTCCTTTTTGTGTTGAGAACAGAAGATTTAGTTTCTGATCAACTTTTATAAAATGGTATGTTGACTATCATCACTATGTTGTACATAACATATCCAAAACATATTTACTAGTTGTAAATTTGCACCCTCAAACAATATCTCCCCAATTCCCTCACCCCCAGCATCTGGTCATCGCCATTCTACTCTATTTTTACAAGTTCAGTTTGTTTAGTTTCCACATATAAGTTATTTTATACAGTAGTTATCTTTCTCTGCCTGACTAATCTCACTTAGCACAATGTTTTTAAGGTGCACTCATGTTGTTGCATGAGTTTTCTTCTCTCTCATGGTTAAGTAATATTCCTCTGTGTGTGTGTGTGTGTGTGTGTGTGTGTATTGCATCTTCTTTTTTTTTCCTCACCCAAGGACATTTTTTCCATTTTTTGTTCAGATAGAGTGGGAGGGGGAGAGAGAGAGAGAAACATCAACATGAAAGGGACACATCGAGTGGTTGCCACCCACACAACCCAACCAGGGCCGGGGACAAACTGCAACCGAGGTACATGCCCTTAGCGGGAACCAAACCCAGGTCTCTCCGGACCGCAGGCGGACGCTCTAACCGCTGAGCCAAACCTGCCAGAGCGCTTTGCCCAATTTTTAACTTGGATTATTTTCTTTCTCGGCTATTGAGTTTTCTGCGTTCTTCAAATATTTGGGGAATTTGCTTTGCTCAGATTTTCTCTCATTCTGTAAGTTGTCTTTTCAACTTATTGTTTCCTTTGCTGGCAGAAGCTCTTTAGTTTAATGTGGTCACCGATTGTTTTGTTGTCGTTGTCTGTGCTTTGGTGACTTGACCATTGCCTAACTAAGGAAAAGGAGTTTTCCCTTATGTTTGCTTCTAGAGGTTTTGTGGTTTCAGGTCTTACATTTAAATCTTTGAACTGTCTGTTTCAAGCTAATTTTTATGAGTGACGTAAGGTAGGGGTCCGATTTCCTTTCTTTGCTTGTGGATATCCAGTTTTCTGTCCTTTCCCTAGTGTGTGTTCTTGTTCCCCTTGTCAAAAGTAAGTTCATTGTCTCTATGGGGGGTTGTGTATCAGTTTTCTATTTTGTTCTACTAATTGATGTGCCTATTTTTATGCCAGCACCATACCATTTTGATTACTATAGCTTTGTAATAGAGCTTGAAATTAGTTCTTATGATGCCTCCAGCTTTGTTCTCTCTCAGCATAGCTTTGGTTATTTGAGATATTTTGTGGTTCCAAACACATTTTATGACAGTTTTTCTATTTATGCTAGAAATGCCATTGGAATTTTGATTGGGATTGCACTAAATCATAGATCATGTTGGGTTGTATGGACATTTTCACATTATTAATCCTTCCAGTCCTGGAGCATGAGATATCTTTCTATTTCTTTGTGTCTTCTTTAATCTCTTTCATCAGTGTCTTATAATTTCACCTCTTTGGTTAAATTTATTCCTAAGTACTTTATTGTTTTCAATGCCACTGTAAATGGGATCACTTACTTAATTTCTCTTTTAGATAATTTGTTGTTAGTATTCAGACATGCCATTGATTCCTGTATGTTGATTTTATATCCTGCAACTTTACTAAATTCATTCATTAGTTCTAACGATTTTTTAGTGTCTTCTTTAGGGTTTTCTATATATAGAAGATGTCAGCAGTGAACAGAGATGATTTTTCTTCTTCCTTTCTGATATGGATGCTGTTTCTTTCTTTTCCTGCCTAATTGCTCTGGCCATGACTTCCAGTACTACTGATGAGCCACCCTTCCATTTCTAAGATAAATCCCACTTGATGGTGGTGAATGAACCTTTACCGTGTTGTTGAATCTGGTTAGCTAATATTTTGCTGAGAATTTTTTCATCCATATTCATCAAGGTTATTGGTTGTAATTTTTCTTTCTTATAGTGTCTTTGTCTAACTTTGGTACCAGGGCAGTGTTGACTTTATAAAATGAGTTTGGGAGAGTTTCCACCTCTTCAAATTCTTTGAACAGTTTGAGAAGCATTGGTGTTTATTTTTCATGTTTGGTAGAACTCACCAGTGAAACCATCTGTTCCTGGGCTTTTCCGTGTTGGGAGGTTTGGATGGGTCTGAGCCTTGAACTGCCTGGGGAATGGGGTTCAGGGTAGTGGCAGTGCCCCTGGCAATGGTGGGTCAGAGCCAGGACCTAGGACCCCGGGGGCAGGGCCTGGGGCAGCTAGAGCCATCTCAGCAATGACAGTTCAGAGTCTTGACCAGGGATGGGGGAGGGGAGGGCTAGGCGGCAGCAGCACAGCCCTAATAGTGGCAGCCAGAGTGTGACTTGGGACCCTGGGGGCGGGGCTCAGAGCAGGAGGAGGCTGCCTCCGTGATGGTGGGAAGAAGCCTAACCTGGGGCCGAGCTGGGCACAGCAGCGGCAGCTCAGGTCTCAGGTATGGTCCGGCGCCGTGGTACCCAACCCCCGAGAGTGGGGCACAGCAACCAGCAGGGGTCCTGAGGACCCGTCTCACCTCAGCCACAGCTGCAGCACCTGGGAGCAGATGCAGAGGTGAGGCCCCACCGGGCTGCTCCATCAGGGTCAGCATGTTGAGGACTGTGGGAGCCCTCTCTAACAAAAGCCGCACACAGGCACGAGGGGAGGCTTACAGTGGTCCGGGCTCTTCCTCTCCGCCAGCTCCCTCAGGTCTCTGACTTGGGGGGGGGGGGGGCCGTGATGCAGGCAAAAATGCTTTCTGAACTGTGTGCCCATGCTTGACTTTTGAGCTCTGAAATCAGGGTTTTGCTGCTGCTTCTTTATTGTCTAGAGCTTTTCCTGAGCTATTTTCTTCAGTTTGCAGCTATTTATTTTTCTTGTTTTTTTAAGGCGGTGATGAGCCTTGGGATCTCCTAGCCCTTTACCTTGCTGACATCACTACCACGTCCCTCATTCCTACCGAGGAGGCAAATGAGGTCCTGGGAGATAGATGCTTTGCTCAATAATACCCTGCACGTTTGAGACTGGGAATTTTGTTCTGATTCTACTCTTGATTTTGCTGAGGACTTGATTGTAATCTCATAGGTGCACAAAGAGCAAAGCAATTTTAAACTGAATATGAAATGTGTTTTTGAACATTTATTTACATCTTGATCCTATTGTCTCAAAATATTTCCAGCCTCCTGATTCATAAATGAATTCCTTATTTTAACATAAAATTTTAGCGTATTCTTCTGAGAAGCCATTATGGGAAGTTACAGAAGTGACGCAAATTAATTGAGCATGATAGGATTCTAATGAAGTAAATAACTCCTGGAAGTGCTGTATGAAATAGTGGTTGTGTGTTTTCAGTATTAAACCCAAGATAATTCATGTTTTGCTGTGTTTTTTTTTTTTTTTTGTATGCATTTCTGATTTTTGTGCATTAACTTTTCTTCATTATTTCTTTGTAGGCAGAATAACCAGAACATTACAAATAATACTGGAAGTTGTACCAGAAGAAGATTGTCATAAATTTTGAATTAATGCATTTGAAATCTTGGCAATCTGTCCTTGGCCTTGTTTCTGCCCAAAGGGCTGAAATAAAATATGGACATTCACTTCATTTCATGAAAAGCCGGAGGATTGCAGCTTTGGTGACGGAATAAAGGAATCAGTTATTTTTATTCATATCTTTTAGTGTATTCAAACTGGTTTCTAAGAAATTTAGTTCTGACTGCATGTTATAGAAAGCTGATAGGCAACGATACCATGAGTTCATGTGATTCTCGAGTCCCTGACACCTTCCTGTTGACGAGAAGGGAAGAGACTGCGGGATGGACAATTACTTCGGTGGTCTTTCTCTGTAACGTATCTTATCACGGCTAAGAACCTTCAAATTGAAAACTGAGCTATTTTCTGTATATATGGGTTTTGTAAAAACATTTTTTTACATATTGCAGATGACCATACTGTGAAAAGTGTGTTCTAGTCTTCTAGAGAAAGAAAAGAAAGGCGTATGTCATCATTATGGACAGAGGAAAGAAATTTGCTTTGCATTGGCTTTGTGTTGCTTTCCTGTAGATACCAACTTAGACGTCACCCATCTTCTAAGGGACGGTACTCAGAGCATTTTGAACAAAGGACAGAGGGGATATGCTTGACTTTAATCAGTACGTTAAAGAAGAGCTTCTAGGAGCTCTTGTTTATGAGACAAATCCAGGAATTATGTTTATGTAAAAATCATTGAGAACTTAATGTTAGGATTTTGTTTTCCACTCATCATCAGGAAGCTTCATGGTTATGTGACATTTTGTTTTCAGGGCAGCCCATTTGATCAGAAAAGGATGTAACACATTTCTCTTTTTTAAAAACATACTTTTTTTTTTTTTTTTTTTTTAGAGAGAGATAGGAAAGGAGAGGGAGAGAGATAGAAACATCAATGAGAGAGAAACATTAACATTGATTGGCTGCCTCCTGCATGCCCCCTGCTGGGGATTGCGCCAGGAACCTGGGCATGTGCCCTGACCGGGAATCTAACTGGCGATCCCTTGGTGCATAGATCGATGCTCAACCACTGAGCCACACCGGCCAGACATAACACCTTTCTTATAGTAAAGCAATAGTCAGTTTGGTATTAAATCCTTCTAAGCATAATCACCTGTTTCACAAATAACTCACCCTTGATAAATATATCTAAATATGTGCATTTTCTAATCTTCAAATTACAATATCAACATAAGACAGAAATCACCAAGAAAGAAAATGCCCCAAATATTCTGCCCAACCCTATAATCATGTCTATAGGCAATGATAGTAATTCTGAACAATCTTTTTATGTCATCATTATTTTTACATGCTGATGAATTTCGACAGGTTGTACATTTCCTTTATACATTTTATACTCTGTTAAAATATCACTCTAAACAAAATTGTCCAGATCAATTAGGAAAAAAACATATATTTACATAAAAATTGAGGAAGAAATGTCACTGCTAAATAAGATGCAGAACTGATGTTTCCAAAAAGTTTCCACTTCTGTTTCTAGGTTTTGTCAGTACTTTCCTCACTTTAATTATCATCCAGTTTGCCAAGGAGATAACTGATGACAACTTCACCGAAAGAAGTAGAAACTGCATGCATGTGTACATCCAGACAGGCGTTCTTATGCTAGGTTCAGAAAACACTGTGGTTTTCTAATGAGAGCAGTATCGTGATGAAACTCGTTGACTATTATTTACACACATCTAAGGGGAAGCAGTTCATCAGAGCCAGAGTTATGTTTCATCCTCTCATTTTTGTCTATTTGAAGATAAGAATTTTTGAAAGAATTACACTGATTAAAATCACAAAGAGGAGGTGTCAAGTTCATGGACAGTTGACCAACGTGGCAATGATAATTCATAATTTGAGACAGTTCTAGTTCACCAGTTTCCATTTCTGCTCTTGATAACATTGAGTAGATACCCAAGACTGACATTTTCCAGCCAGCCCTACTGTTTGGGTCTCACACAAGTTTTTTTTCTTTTTCTCTTACCATGGGGTTTTAACATTTGATCCGTAGTCTCTGAGTCCTGTATCTGTTTATCCCAATCTCTCCCACTGGATTGTTGCTAGAGGTGTTGCAGTGCAGGCTCATAGAACTCAAACCAGAAAACTCTTCTTGAACGTTTTATGTAACAAGATAAAAGGTCAAGTCTCATGGAGCGTTTCGTGTGGTTCTTGACCATTCCTGGGGTTAATGTGTGTATATCAACAGACAGGACTCCGCGTTGTATTTATTTACTTAGGGTTCTGATTTCTCTTTAAATCTATTATTGAACAGGCTAAGTAGAATACATATTAATTAATCTTTTCCTCCTTCTCAGAATGATTGTTAATTATTAAATTTCTAATACCATTCTAACCAGACAGAAAGCCAGTCAGTGATTTTTTTAAGAAAGTGATGGAGGGTAAGTTAGACTTATTTTTAGGGTGCATCATGACAAGACACAGGGTTTCTGTAGTCAGGGAATCAATATTCTTAATTGTTATTCAGAATGGTGTCAAGTCTTAGAACAGGTGGCTGCCTCCGGACCAAACAATAGGTATGCGCGCACACACGTGCTGTGTGTTTGTACGTATCTCCCCCAGCCCCGCTGACACAAATTAGGGTAGATTGTCAGGATATGTTAGAAATGCATGACAGCTTCTCTAACACTGAAGTAACTGTGTTGTAACAAACTTCCAGATTGTCTTCTGTGTCTGGTAAAATTGTTTCCCCAATTGCTATTTGGGGTATCAACAGATGCTTAACCTGAGTGTATTTACATCACTCGACAGAATTCTTCACAAACTGTAATCTGTCTTCAGGAAACTCGTTGTTTTGTCTCTATTTGAAGATAAATGTAATGATAGCTAAGAAAGGGAGCATCTGTGACCTACAGTTGATTTCTTATCATTGAGGTATAGGTTATGAAAAGATAGAAAACTAAAGGTCAGAGTACCAGGAAATGAAAGTAGTATGTGATGGGGGGAACACTGTTGCGGTGTAATTTATTATGCAGTAGAGCCAGAGAAATGTTAAAAAGCCATTGCCTGCTGCACACAGGTGGATATCCTGAGAAGCTAATGAATGTGAGTTTCAGTGTCCCTCACTTAGACATGCCCCTTCAAGGCCCTGTAGCTAATTTTGCATTAGGAATTATGTATTAATTATCTTGAAGAAAATCAAAATTGTATATCCTTCTGGCCCTACATGATCAAATACCCCCTTGATTAAGGTAAAATTCTTCCATTACATTTTCTATTAAAAATAAGCATAGGTATTTGTAAGATATATTTTTAAATAAGGTTGTGCGTTAGTTGAAGTAGCTATATGTAAGTGGCCTTCTCATAATATACATTATGTGATATATAAGGAGAAAGTTTCATTTTTGACATATTTTGTCAGTTCCGAATGACAGAAAAGCAATAAATGGGATTCTAAATTGTAGCTCTTTTTTTAGGTTGGAAAGAAATAGAAAGAGACTTGGGATTTGAATGCAGATGAGTCAAGAAAGGTAATTTTACTTAAATAGAATCTTGCCTCATTGTACCCTATATGACAGGCTGTACGCTGGTGCTGATGTTTACCGTACATTTGGCTTTCCTAACCAAAGTCAGTTCCTTGTGGGACCGGCCTCAAGCTCGTGGTGGGTATAAATGAGAGCAGATAATGAGTCATTTTGACAGCTTCTGTTTACATTATTTGTATATAGGTAATAGAATTGATACCTGTGACTTTTTAAAGTATAATTTCCCCATAAATGGCATTTTTAATCTTAAATATAATACCTAAAAGTGTAACCTCTAGGTAGTGTTCTTACTGTACTTAAAAAGATATTTTGACAGCCATTTTTAAGAAATAATTCTTTCTTCTTTTTTGTTACATTTCCAAAGTAGTTGGTATGAAAATATAAATGCTCAGTCTGGTTCTATTTGATACAAATCCACAAAGGCATGTCTCACAGAAAGTTCACCAGTTTTCTGAATGTTGTGAGATAATTGTTCTTCTTTACATCTCCAAGGGTATTAACGTGATCTCTTGGAACCATTTCTCTGGTTTTTGTTTTTGTTTTGGAATGAATCAGTGATTCCCTTTGTATTATTTTTTGGCATGATATCCTCAAGATAGGAGTGAGTCTTAGTTGAATTTATACAATTACTGAACTTCTTAATGTGAAACTACCACTTAGGTTCCTTGGCAGTCTCCTGACCCATCTCTGTTACCACTGGCTTTAAAATATCACTGGTGAATGGCTACAGTCTCCAAATAGCTATCTATTTGTGTGCATTTCAGCTGTAGAGATCGAGGCTACATTTATAGTATCAATAACCACCTTAACACTTTATAAATAACAGTCCTCTCAAGAAATTGGGGAGCATTGGGCGTCTGAGCACCATCCAAATGGATGCAATGGTTTGCAAGTGAACACACCTTTTGCCCTCAACATACACACTACTGATTTTTTTTTGAAGAATGACTTTCAATTGAATTAATTTATTGGTTAGAATACTTGCTTGCTGAATCCTTATAACCTCTCGTTGCAGCCTCTAAAGGCCACGCTGAAAGCTAGAGGGAAAATAAAGACTAATGCACAGTTACCTCTTTTGCAGCAGTGGCTGTATCTTGAGGACCTTGTGTGATAGGGTATTTTGCACATCTTGTGGGAAAACATCAGGCCTTTGGACATGACAGCTGCAACGGTTGGGTTGTAAGTGGTCTGACTTAAACGGGGATTGTAAAGTTAGACCCCACGTATTCCTGCTGATGCTTCCGCACATGCTCAGAAGCATATTCATCTCACACTGGGAAGCAATGCAATGTGGTTCCCTGGTTCCAGGTTCGAACTGTCTGCTTTCAAAGAATTTCTGAGTCATTTTTTCCCCTAGCATTTCCCCTTCATTCCAAATTTCCATTTACTGACTAACATATTATATTTAAATAGAAAAATCGTTTGGAGAAATAAAACAGATTGTTTCAAATGAATGTACACTTAGAATAGAATTGATCTACATTAAACTACTGTGTGTGTTCATAATTTCAGACACTACCACATAGCACTTTTTAATTGTTCTGGAAGCAAAAAACAATCTATGTATAGGTACGGTTATCACACAGACAACAAGAACCCTCCCAAATTTTTAAGTAGTCTGGGATTATTTTGATCCTGTCTTTAGAGAAAGGTTTTACCTAATAGTTTCCCCTTGGGAATGTTATTGCTACTGCCATAAATCTGGCACTAAACTATATTAATACTTACATCTTGAAACCCAGGATCTTCTTTTTACATTATCCATTTTCAGAGAATGGCATATCCCTTAACTCTTTTAGGCTATTTGGGGCCAATGCCTGTATTTAAAATAGCCAGTTATTTTAAACACAGGGAGTGACCCCAGATTCTTTGTAAACTAATTGTAGCACAAGTAATGAGTTTGCAGAGTTTCTCTCCCAACTATTTTGAGAGACTGCAAACACAAGCATCAGGTGTGCTAAGGGTGCACTGCTGAGTACGGCGGAATGGAGTGGCCCCTCAATGCCACGGGTGAGCAAACATGTAGTGGTGTCTTACTGATGTTAAACGCTGGCTACCTATGCATTTATAATAAGCACAAGTCAGAGGAAGGCAAGCCACATGCTGCCTGGCCTGGATGCCTGGGAACTTAATTTGTCCTACTTTTCAAACAGAGATTTGATTCAAGATTTTACAGAGCTTGGTTTTTGCTTATCGTAGAGTGGATTAGATGGTAGTAATGCACTGGTAGAGATGGTTTTCAGTTACTGACTCAGAATTCATCTCAGGATGAATCGTTCATGTG